GATGAAAATTACAGGCCTCTCTCATCATTTTAAGTGGGAGAACTTGCACAATTGGTGGCTGACTAAATACTTTTTTTCCCCACTGTATACACACCTGTTCTGAAAGGCCCCAGATTTTGCAACACCACTAAGCAAGGGGCACCACCAAGCAAGCGGCACCATGAAGACCAAGGAGCTCTCCAAACATGTCAGGGACAAAGTTGTGGAGAAGTACATATCAGGGTTGGGTTATAAAAAAATATCTGAAACTTTAAACATCCCTCGGAGCACCATTAAATCCATGATAAAAAAATTGAAAGAATATGGCACCACAACAAACCTGCCAAGAGAGGGCCTCCCACCAAAACTCACGGACCAGGCAAGGAGGGCATTAATCAGAGGGGCAACAAAGAGACCAAAGATAACCCTGAAGGAGCTGCAAAGATCCACAGCGGAGATTGGAGTATCTGTCCATAGGACCACTTTAAGCCGTACACGCCACAGAGCTGGGCTTTACGGAAGAGTGGACAGAAAAAAGCCATTGCATAAAGAAAAAAATAAGCAAACACGTTTGGTGTTCACCAAAAGGCATATGGGAGACTCCCCAACATATGGAAGAAGGTACTCTGGTCAGATGAGACTAATATTGAGCTTTTTGGCCATCAAGGAAAACGTTATGTCTGTCGCAAACCCAACATCTCTCATCACCCCGAGAACACCATCCCCACAGTGAATCATGGTGGTGGCAGCATCAAGCTGTGGGATGTTTTTCATCGGCAGGGACTGGGAAACTGGTCAGAATTGAAGGAATGATGGATGATGCTAAATACAGGGAAATTCTTGAGGGAAACCTGTTTCAGTCTTCCAGAGATTTGAGACTGGGACGGAGGTTCACCTTCCAGCAGGACAATGACCCTAAGCATACTGCTAAAGCAACACTTGAGTGGTTTAAGGGGAAACATTTAAATGTCTTGGAATGGCCTAGTCAAAGCCCAGACCTCAATCCAATTGAGAATCTGTAGTATGACTTAAAGATTGCTTAAATCCATTTTACTTCCAGGTTGTAAGGCAACAAAATAGGAAAAATGCCAAGGGGGGTGAATACTTTCGCAAGCCACTGTAGCTAGTTGAATGCTATGGCTAGCCTGAAAGGACTCATTTTGAAAGTTGGACCATCTTATCCTTTGAGGCTTTAAAAGTGTTCTTACACTATGAATTTGAACATTCACAGCAACTGGGAAATGTCCATGGCAGGAATTGTTGTCATATAAACTTGCTACATAACTCCTGAGTGATTGGAAGCACGAGCACCACCACCAATCAGCCTACACCACTGCACACACACACGTTGTTACTAAGACAACTAGCATAGCCATGTCAGCAAATTACTGCTGTCTGAACACACACAAATCCGATTTGGTCAGTTGTAACTTGCTGTTTGGACTGTCAGTATTCCAAAACGTATTTGAAAAACTGATTTGAGCATTATGCTTTGAACACACCGACAGCGTTTGCGTTTTGGTACACAAGAAGTACATTCATTTCCAATGGAACGCTGCGTTTGCCTTGCAGCATTGCGTTGCAGAGGCAGTTGCAGTGCGTTCTGTGTGGTGCATACGTTGGATTTATCGAACGTATGCGTCAAACTGTATGCATAAACGGGTTGACAGAAATGGTAGCAGAAGGTGAATGTTGAACTTTTGTTGCACACATATCTAGATGATGCTGCATACTATTTTGCGCAAAGACTCAGTCGATGTGTTCAAAGCGTTAAGGCCAATACATAGAATCAGCAATTCAGGCTTTATATATAAAAAAGAAACGTCCCTTTTTCATGACCCTGTCTTTCAAAGATAATTAGTAAAAATCTAAATAACTTCACAGATCTTCATTGTAAAGGGTTTAAACACTGTTTCACATGCTTGTTCAATGAACCATAAACAATGAATGAACATGCACCTGTGGAACGGTCATTAAGACACTAACAGCTTACAGACGGTAGGCAATTAAGGTCACAGTTATGAAAACTTAGGACACTAAAGAGGTGTCGTGTATGAAGATTATGACTAGTCTTGAGGGACAAAGAAAGACTGTTTATCTTAGTTCAAATGTAGCCGTTTGGAGGGTGACGCCCCAGGGGAGACCGGTGATTGGACGAAAGAGGGAGCAACCCATTTTTGCCATTGTTTATAAGTAGGAGCTAGACAAAGGGGGAGTCAGAAGCATTCAGATTAATTTGGGAAGGTGCTTCTCCAGACACCGCGGGTCTGTAACTTATGCTGTAAACGTGTGATATTAATAAAAGCCTCTAATCACGGTGCAGCCTAAGCGGACTCTTTGTTGACAGCAATGAGCACCAGCATTCGACGCGATACCACAGAGGCCTTTCTACTGACTCTGAAAAACACAAAAAAAAAGATGCCCAGGGTCCCTGCTCATAATAATATGCCATTTAGCAGACGCTTTTATCCAAAGCGACTTACAGTCATGCGTGCATAATTTGTTTTGTGTATGGGTGGTCCCGGGGATCGAACCCACTACCTTGGCGTTACAAGCGCCGTGCTCTACCAGCTGAGCTACAGAGGACCGCGTGAACGTGTCTTAGGCATGCTGCAAGGAGGCATGAGGACTGCAGATGTGGCCAGGGCAATAAATTGCAATGTCCGTACTGTGAGACGCCTAAGACAACGCTACAGTGAGACAGGACGGACATCTGATTGTCATTGCAGTGGCAGCCAACGTGTAACAACACCTGCACAGGATCGGTACATCCGAACATCACACCTGCGGGACAGGTACAGGATGGCAACAACAACTGCCCGAGTTACACCAGGAACGCACAATCCCTCTATCAGTGCTCAGACTGTCTGCAATAGGCTGAGAGAGGCTGGACTGAGGGCTTGTAGGCCCGTTGTAAGGCAGGTCCTCACCAGACGTCACCGGCAACAACGTCACCGATTGGCAAAAACCCACCGTCGCTGGACCAGACAGGACTGGCAAAAAGTGCTCTTCACTGACGAGTCGCGGTTTTGTCTCACCAGGGGTGATGGTCGGATTCGCGTTTATCGTCAAAGGAATGAGTGTTACACCGAGGCCTGTACTCTGGAGCGGGATCGATTTGGAGGTGAAGGGTCCGTCATGGTCTGGGGCGGTGTGTCACAGCATCATCGGACTGAGCTTGTTGTCATTGCAGGCAATCTCAACGCTGTGACACACCGTTACAGGGAAGACACCCTCCTCCCTCATGTGGTACCCTTCCTGCAGGCTCATCCTGACATGACCCTCCAGCATGACAATGCCTCCAGCCATACTGCTTGTTCTGTGCGTGATTTCCTGCAAGACAGGAATGTCAGTGTTCTGCCATGGCCAGCGAAGAGCCCGGATCTCAATCCCATTAAGCACGTCTGGGACCTGTTGGATCGGAGGGTGAGGGCTAGGGCCATTCCCCCAGAAATGTCCGGGAACTTGCAGGTGCCTTGGTGGAAGAGTGGGGTAACATCTCACAGCAAGAACTGGCAAATCTGGTGCAGTCCATGAGGAGGAGATGCACTGCAGTACTTAATGCAGCTGGTGGCCACACCAGATACTGACTGTTACTTTTGATTTTGACCCCCCCCCCCTTTGTTCAGGGACACATATTATCAATTTCTGTTAGTCACATGTCTGTGGAACTTGGTCAGTTTATGTCTCAGTTGTTGAATCTTGTTATGGTCATACAAATATTTCCACATGTTAAGTTTGCTGAAAATAAACACAGTTGTCAGTGAGAGGACGTTTCTTTTTTTGCTGAGTTTATATTATTTATTTTTTGTTTTACCCCCCCTTTTCTCCCCAATTTCGTCATATCCAATTATGATCTTGTCTCATCGCTGCAACTCCCCAACTGGCTCGGGAGAGGTGAAGGTCGAGTCATGCGTCCTCCGAAACATGACCCACCAAACCGCGCTCCTTAACACCCGAGGACGTTTCTTTTTTTGCTGAGTTTACATCATTGGACAAAATGAAAGTCTTCTGTAGCCTTAGCAGACAAGCAAGACATAAAAGTATTTATATTGTCAGAAATATTTGTATAATTTTGACAATTATAGTTGATATGTGCTACAAATCATGAACGGTTCTGAAAAATGGAACGTTCAACATTTCACATAATTTTAATAATTTTGGTGAGAATGATAGGTGGGTGCTCTCACTAGTTACACTACAGTTTTTGAACACAGTGTGGCACTCTCCCTCTCTCTCTCTCTAAAGGGGCATGTTGGACCAATGCTTATAATAATAGCTTTTTTTTTGTAATAGAATGCTATGGAAAACATTATACTCAGTGGGCCACTATGGTGAATATGTCAAGTTGTGATCCTTAAACCTAGATAGAAACAGGTACAATTTGTACAGAACAGAGTTTAATATTTTACAAACTGTTGCTTAGCAAGTGTCAAAGTGATAACAGTATGAAGAAAAGAAGGAGATATTTGGTCCTTGCCTCGTGGGTTATACATGGGAGTTTGTGTGCGTGCGTGTGCATGTGTGCGTGCGTGTGCATGTGTGCGTGTGCGTGTGTGCATGCGTGTGTCAGACCCTGAGAACAGTTTACAGCAGTTTCTGACTCCTTACAGCTGAGACTGGTCTCTGTTTGTGTGTGTTGTTGTGAATACAGTGACCTCATTGTTGGCACAATTCTAAGAGTTGCATACTCAAGTTGTCTGCAAAGCCTATAGACACAATGGTAACTTACTATTCAATGACAAAAGCAGCTAAAGAGCTCATGAAGCCATGGCAGAGACTGTAATACTACTTGTTTTCTCAGCCTGCACCAACTGCTTCACATAGACACAGTAGGCAGAATATCCAGAGACTAGGAATGTAGTTGGATGAGTATCACGTACGATGCCTCCTGCTGTGGCATACATTATGCTATATCAATTTACATTAAACCTCTCGACATGTTTCAAGTTCCCAATGTATAAATACATAAATTGTCACACTGAGGATTCTGTCTCTGTATAAATGGCAGCCTTGGGGCTCTACGTGGCAGTTAGCTTGATGGTAGCTGCAGAGGGTGACTGTTGTATTGAGGTTGACTGAGAAGAAACAACCTCTTCTCCAACAGGTCCTCCTAGTGCTGTTCTGTCAAAGCTTCCACAGCACAGCTTCGGGGCACACTGCGTCCGACAGGACAGCTCACAGGCGTAAATATTAGATTCAAAGTTAACAGTAACAAACTCTGGTTGAACCGTCGTGGCATGGATACCCTCATCATGAAAGAGGCCTTTGATTCGCTTGGCCACATCCATGTAGTTAGCAGGGTCTAGGCATTTGATGTGTGCTGTGGCAATGATCCTGCTCCCTGCCAGCTGCCAGATGTGTAGGTCATGGACAGACAACACACCATCCAGACCCCTGAGCCTAGCCAGCAGCCGGTGCATGTCTATCTGTTTAGGAACAGTCTGTAGGAGGATGAGGGCTGACTCCTTCAGGAGAGGGAAGGTGGTATAGAGTAAGAAGCCCACCATGATGATGCAGAGTGTGGGGTCGAGGTAGAGCACCCAGCAAGGCCCAGTGAGGTGCACTGTAGTCTGGGTACTACTACCAAGCATGGTGACCAGTGTAGCATTGACATGTTGTTGGTGGTGGTCAGTGTAGTCGTGGCTGTTGTAGCATGGGTTGACACAGGTCTCTCCAGCATGACAAGGCTGCCACACGTAGGTGAAGGTGAGAGCGTTGACCACAACGATGACAGAGCCGAGGGCATCACCCAGCACATGGAGGAAGACACCCTGCATGTTGAGCTGTGAAGCAGAGTCATGATGGCTCTCGTTCAACTCCTCCAGGGAGATGTCCTTCATGTGGACCTCAAGGTTGTCCTTATTGGGGATTTCTGTGGAGTATGGAACATAAAATACCTGATTTGTGATAACATTCCACTCCTTGTAACCCGTGTCATATGTTTGGCATGGCATATGCCAAACATATGACACGGGTTACAAGGAGTGGAATGTTAACACAAATAGACTGGTACCCAGGCTAAGCATAAGAATCCTGAATGATGAATAATATAGGCCTTTATACAAAGACCCTTTTATATTTTCACATTTATATAGACCTACCCTCATTTCCCCTCTAACTATTAGGCTACCCTGTGCTCATCTACGAACAGATTAGGGCAGCAGATTAGACCAGCAGGTAGCCTAGCGGTTAAGAGTGTTAGGCCGGTAACCGAAAGGTTGCTGGTTTGAAAACCTGAGCTGGTGAAAAATCTGTCAATGTGCCCGTGAGCAAGGTGCTTAACCCTAATTGTTCCTGTAAGTCGCTCTGGATAAGCGTGTCTACTAAAAATGTAATAACAATTAATTTGCAGGATTGTTACCTCCTTGTTGGGTTTTCAACTAGCATGCTAGCAGTTACCATAGACTTCCAGTCATTGCGCTAACGCTAGTTTGCAACTTCCTTCAAATTGCATGCAGAGACATAAAAATGCCATCCACGAGTTCATCTGACTCTGGGCAAGTAGATAAATGGCTTCACTGCCAAAATCCTGAAGTATCACTTTAAACAATGGTATATTCATTTCCCTACACTAAACTTTGTGTTAATTGATGATCACAAAGAACATTACTCATATACCCTATAATTATCAGACTACCACAGAAGGAAAGGTAAATACAACAGACATACCTTGATCTCCTCCTGGACCTGCTCTGAGATCCCCTGTCTTCAGACTGCAATCAAACAGGATAGACCTACTGGTCTCATCTTCAATGGATTCTCTCCCTACTCCCTCGGATTTGTGAAGTTTGTTAATTCCATGACAGCCACCATGCGAGTGACCGTGTCCTGCGTGTCCGTGGAACAACAAAAGACCTAGCAAGTTTACAAGAAGTCCCGCAGCTCCAACTCCAATAACCACTCGGGGACTCTCAATCTCGTGAGGCACTGTGAACCGCTCGACTGCCTGAAGAATGATGGTAAAGCACAGGGCAGTCAGGAACACGGCGTTGACCAGAGCACCCATCACTTCTGCTCTGATCCAACCGAAAGTATTTTTACTCGTTGCTTGAGTTTTCTCAGAGAAGTGCACAGCAATCAGGGCCACAACCAGGGCTATGACATCCGACAGCATATGGAAAGAGTCTGACAGCATTGACAGGGAAGCAGTCATACGGCTGACAACAACCTCAACAATGAAAAACGCAAAAGTCATGGACATCATGCAGAGCAGTCGGAGACGATTTCGTTCCAAAGCCATTTTCACCGCAGCAATGCAACAGTCTAACAAAAAGTAGTCTAGTATCTCCAAAACCTTCTCGCCGGTAGTAGTAGTGGCAAACTCGTTGACCTGCGAACTAGCACCTTGGACAGCAACCAAAACGGTCGCCAGTGGCAACCTTCAGAGGGAACGGTTTGTTTCCCTCGCGCTCCATTGAGTAAATGGCATGCAACCATGTTCGTAACTATATGTTCTTAAATTTGATGTTTTGGTGGCTCTCGGGCAATTCAGAAAGCTGATGAAGGACCTTCTTACAGATGAATGTATTTGTTTTTTATGACCATGCTTTTCTTTTTGCTTGCATTTATATTTTCTGTAATTCATTTACATTTACATTTTAGTCATTTAACAGACGCTCTTATCCAGAGCGACTTACAGTTAGTGTTCGAACCCACAACCCTGGCGTTGCAAACGCCATGCTCTACCAACTGAGCTACACCGGACATGGCTCATCGGTAGACCTTGGTGTAAAGATAAAATAAAAATAAAAATGTTACACAACTGAAGTGGATTAGTGCTGTTTGCTGGGAGCTGATGCACCAAAAGAATGATCAATTTATTGCACTTTTTTTTTGCAGCATTATATGAAGTTTCAATTTGTTAGTTCGTATAAATCACAAATTACACAATTTATCTTATGAGCTTACTTAAGCTATTTGTTGATTATCAACATTTATTTTCATTTCACCACCACAAGGTGGTGGCAAAGGAGAAACATTTTTACAGAATGGCAACAGTGGCAGTTTATATTCTGGGAGCTGAGCTGAGTGTTTTGCATAGGCCTAAAATAAAACAAATATCATAGCCTAATCTTGATGCTGATTAATCATTCCATGAGTCTTAAGCCTGGCACAATGAGTGGCAGATCAAAGTCTCTGCTTCATTGGCAGGCATTTTCTTTCAACAGATCTACGAGAAATGTTTGAAATGCTGTTCTCTGCGCCTCTATATTTCCAGTTGGCGTTGCCCTCGTCTCGTGAAGAGGAGGACATAGATTTTCGCTGTCAAGTATCTGACCAATAAGGGGGCAGGAAGGAGGGCCTATCTGTCATTGATAGCAAAATGGGCCCAATCAGATGTTAATACTCCACATAGCAACCCCAATCACAGCTGCAGGGGGGCTTGGTCCTGAAGGTATAGTAGGGGTTACCCCCCTCCCCCCATCTAAGCTGTCTAGTTTGGACACATTTTTATCTTGCTTGACAAGCTAGGCAAATTTTTTCCCTCAAAGCTAGCTGGTCAACACCAAATTGCAGCCGGATATAGCTAGCTACATGTGATTCTGTAATTTCAATCTATCTAAGTAATGTTGATGGTTTGCTAGCCAGCAAGTTTATCTGTGGGCACATTTGGAATACAATGCCATCTTCGATGGAAGGATCTTCTAGAGAAGGTGAACTGTTTACTGTGAAACATGAGCTGAAAAATGGTAAGTTGTTTAGCTAGCTAGATAATAATGTAAGCTTAATTTAGCTAGCTACTAAATTTGTTGATGGTGATTAACGTTAGTTAGCTAAATAACCGGTTAACTAGTTAATGAAATGGCAACGGTTAGCTAACTTAGCTAGCTACAGACAGTAGCTACTCTGCCGTTGGGGTTTGCAAGTGCAGTCAGTCAAGTCCAAAAAAGGCAGGTAAAGTGTCAAGCTATGCAACTTGCTAAGCTAACTTGACGGTCGACATGCATGCTCATGTTGTTAAACTGTGATATTAGTCATCATTCAGTCGACAAAATGACAAGTACAAAACATCAAACATATGCTAAGGTTAGAAGTAGACCGAAGAGTGCTTGACAGGGGAGAGTGTTGGCTAATAGCTCATGTTAGTTAGCTAGCAGTTTGTGTAAGCCTGTTTTCCATTCGTGGCGGCTTGTTTATGGTACGGGGTAGTTACATAACAGTAGTAGGTAATATTCCTATTCGCATCTTGTGTTCCGCCATGGTGGTTGTTTTGTGCAGCAGTCATTATGCCATGGATGTCAGGCGCGAGAACCTTGAGTGAGACCTGTCATCTGAGTGGCAGCTTCAGTTAGTTGTTGAATACACTTCCCTGTCTGTATTTAAAGTTTCCATTATCCCACCCCATCAAGTATTTTGGACGATGTAATCATTAATTGCAAGTTGAATAAGACCGTTTTCTGTAGCTACTAAGAATGTCATCTTTATTTGCTTAATGTGTTGTGATGTTAGTCTGATTATGCTGACCAATGCTTGACAGTGTAATTACTATTAATTGATAGTCATATCCATGATCCAACATCCAAATGAATACTTAATTCCAGCATTTTCCAAAGCTTGCCACTAGCTCACTTCACTAAGCATTGAGATCACAGCGACTGTAAAGTATAAAAAAACAGTGAAGGGCACCACAACACCAATGCATCCATCCTAGTAACACACGCGCACATACACTCCAATTAAACAAGATAAATGGAGGATGCGTCCCTGTGAGGTTCTCGAGGCACATCATTCTGTTTCCTCTAGATAGGAAGGTGGCCCCATTTCTGCCAAATATATATCTAGCTTTACGCTGCTAGCTCAATCTCAGCACTATGCAGCCTTAGCGTTATTGCTGAGCTGTTCCTTAGCAGAGCAGCAGTCCACACTGTGTTAGAGTGATGGGCGTGGGTTTATTAGGCTAAGGCTACATTCAGCCTTTCTGTCTGTCTGTCTCCTCTCTTCTCTCTCTCTCTCTCTCTCTCTCTCTCTGGCCTTAATGTGTTTGTGCACAAAGCATTAGTAGCCATCATTGTTGATATCTGCACGAAAAGTGTAGTGATCTATTCCAGGCTGTGCCTTAATGTAATATGCCCCTGTTGTAGATTAGAGGTCAGCTTGGTTGGTACCAATGCCATAGCCAGCAGGAAAAACACAGACAGAAGTTGTCATGCAGGAAGCCATGAGGAATAATACATCAATAAAGTGTGTTTTCAAAAACAGGGGTTGTGAAGACAGATAAATAAATTGGCTAGCTGAAAATAGTATTGTTTTCGCTCGCAGCTGTGTCTGTTCTGCTTTAGATAGGAAGGACTGCTGTAGGGCAGGCGATTTAGCCTATTTTGTTACAATGTGCCCTGTCCTTGAATGTTGTTTTTCAGTCATTGTTTTAATGGGTGAAGTTGTATCACACATGCTCTATTCTCATACACTATGTGGCTTCCCAGTTTATAATTGACTGAGCACTGACCTCTGACCGTGCCTTTAATGATCATCATCAATTTGTGGGTCATGTGTTTGTATGAGTAATGTACATGAGTGTTGATTTTAAGGATGGACCGAGGACTCAAGTCTCCACAAAGATACAGTGCCTTGCAAAAGTATTCAGACACCTTGGATTTCTTCAGTTTATTGTGTTAGAAAGTGGGATTAAAATTGATTTCATTGTAATTTTTTTGTGAACAATCTACACAGAAAATGATTTTAATGAATAAAAAATGCATAACTAAAATATAGTCGTTGCATAGATACACTACCAGTCAAAAGTTTGGACACACCTACTCATTTAAGGGATTTCCTTTATTTTTAAAATGTTTTACATTGTAGAATAATAGTGAAGACATCAAAACTATGAAATAACACATATGGAATCATGTAGTAACCAAAAAAGTGTTAAACAAATCAAAATATATTTGAGATTTGAGATTCTTCAAATAGCCACCCTTTGCCTTGATGACAGCTTTGCACACTCTTGGCATTCTCTCAACCAGCTTCATGAGATATTCACCTGGAATGCATTTCAATTAACAGGTGTGCCTCCTTTATAAGTTAATTTGTGGAATTTCTTTCCTTCTTAATGCATTTGAGCCAGTCAGTTGTGTTGTGACAAGGTAGGGGGGTATACAGAAGATAGCCAGCCCTATTTGGTAAAAGACCAAGTCCATATTATGGGAAGAACAGCTCAAATAAGCAAAAATAAACGACAGTCCATCATTACTTTAAGACATGAAGGTCAGTCAATACGGAACATTTCAATAACTTTTAAGTTTCTTCAAGTGCAGTCACAAAAACCATAAAGTGCTACGATGAAACTGGCTCTCATGAGGACCACCACAGGAATGGAAGACCCAGAGTTATCTCTGCTGCAGAGGATACGTTCATTAGAGTTACCAGCCTCAGAAATTGCAGCCCAAATAAATGCTTCACAGAGTTCAAGTAACAGACACATCTCAATATCAACTGTTCAGAGGAGACTGTGTGAATCAAGGCCTTCATGGTCGAATTGCTGCAAAGAAACCACTACTAAAGGACACCAATAAGAAGAAGACTTGCTTGAGCCAAGAAACACGTGCAATGGACCGGTGGAAATGTGTCCTTTGGTCTAGAGTCCAAATTTGAGATTTTTTGTTCCAACCGCTTGTCTTTGAGACGCGGTGTGGGTGAACGGATGATCTCTGCATGTGTATTTCACACCGTATATCATGGAGGAGGTGTTATGGTGTGGGGGGGGGGGGGGCTTTGCTGGTGACACTGTCTGTGATATATTTAACCAGCATGGCTACCACAGCATTCTGCAGCGATACGCCATCCCATCTGGTTAGTGGGACTATCATTTGTTTTTCAACAGGACAATGACCCAACACTCCTCCAGGCGGTGTAAGGGCTATTTTACAAAGAAGGAGAGTGATGGAGAGTGATGGAGGCTGCATCAGATGACCTGGCCAGCACAATCCCCCGACCTCAACCCAAATGAGATGGTTTGGGATGAGTCGGACCACAGAGTGAAGGAAAAGCAGCCAACAAGTGCTCAGCATATGTGGGAACTCCTTCAAGACTGTTGGAAAAGTATTCCAGGTGAAGCTGGTTGAGAGAATGCCAAGAGTGTGCAAAGCTGTCATCATTTACATTTAAGTCATTTTGCAGACGCTCTTATCCAGAGCGACTTACAGTTAGTGAGTGCATATCTTATTTTTTTCATACTGGCCCCCTGTGGGAATTGAACCCACAACCCTGGCGTTGCAAACGCCATGCTCTACCAACTGA